TATTATATTATATTATATTATATTATATTATATTATATTATATTATATTATATTATATTATAATTATATTTTATTTGTTTGTCTTAGGCTGCTGTACGCTGCCATAGAATACCCGCAGACAGCAGTAGCCCGCGAGGAGACAGTTAAAGTGTGCAGGGGCCTCCTTTTTCTTCGCTCTCTCACTGCCTTAGTAAGAGAAGATATATATTATATGTATATATATATATTTAAATTGTTTCTGTTGATTCTTTTCTTTGTTGTTTGTTTGTTTGTTTGTTTGTTTGTTTGTCTGCTCTGTTTGTAGTTTTTTTGTTTGTTTAGCGGTGAATCGCAAATGTTTGTTTGCTCCTATTTTTATTTTATTTTATTTATTTTTATTCTTTTTTCTCTCTTTTTGTCTTATTCGCATGTCTCTGTTGTTTGTTTTGTCTTTTGTTTTTGTGTTTGTTTCATTGCTTTTTTAATTGTTTGTTCGTTTATATATGGATTGCTCTTTATGCTTTGCATGCATGCATGCATAATATATATATACATATATATATATATATATGCTAAAACTCAGTATACTGCCGCTGTCTCTTTTGTCACTAGAGACAGCAAAGAAAGACACCTCACGCATTTGGGGACCTGAAACTGCATTAGGGTTTAGGGTTTAGGGTTTAGGGTTTAGGGTGTATGCACAGGTGGAGACCGCCCCTTTCTTAGCTGCCAATGTGGGGGCGAAGTTTTGCAGATTAATGCAGCGGGTTCTTCGACTGGAGCCGCATCAACCAGTGAGGCATTTACTCTTTTTCTGCTTTGTTTGTCTCCTCCTTTATGCTCATCCTTTCTATTGAGCTTTGCTGTTGCTTCTATTGCTGCTGCTACTGCTGCTGTTGCTGCTGCTCCTGCTGATGCTGCTGCGGCGGCTGCTGGGTCTGTTTCTGAGGCGGCTTACGCCCTTGGGTTTCTCATTCAGGGTTTAGGGTTTAGGGATTAGGGTTTAGGGTTTAGGGTTTAGGGTTTAGCGGGGTTCTGGCGTTGCTGCAGGTTGAATCGATGGACCTTATTCTTAATTACGACATTGTTGCAGAGTAAACCCTAAACCCTAAACCCCAAACCCTAAACCCTCAACCCTAAATATGAAAGCCTAAGCCCCTCAAACAATAAACCCTCCACAACAAAACCCTAACCGTCAAACCCTAAAGGTTAAAATTCAAGTCATAAGCCCTAAATCCCAAACCCTAAACCCCAAACCCTAAACCCTAAACCCTAAACCCTAAGTATATATCGGAGTGTTTGTTTAGATGCACTCGGAGAATGATGTCTCCTCTTCATCATTTAATTCGCCAGGCCTCCACACGGCCTCTCGACTTGAGGGAGCAGGTACAAAGTTTATTTTCTTTTCTTTGCTTTTCTGTCTTTAAGAGATGTTTTGTTTGGTTTGTTTGTTTATTTGTTTGTCTATTTATTTATTTGTGTATTTACTATATAACGTAAATAATTGTATATATCTGCATATAATTATATACACAGCCATATATGATTATATAAAATATTCTATTATTCTTTATTACTGCTTCTTAATTATTTATTACTTATGCTTCTGCTGGTTAATATTGTTGTTTATAATAATAGTTATAGACGAATAATCTCCTTTATAATTACAATTTATTATTATATTTTCTTCTTCTTTTGCTGCATTCTTTATAACTACACTTTATTATTATATCTTCTTCTTCTTTTGCTGCATTCTTTATAACTACACTTTATTATTATATCTTCTTCTTCTTTTGCTGCATTCTTTATAACTACACTTTATTATTATATGTTCTTCTTCTTTTGCTGCATTCTTTATAACTACACTTTATTATTATTTGTTCTGCTTCTTTTGC